ATTCCACTAATCTGCGCTAATCCAGAGCTATTTGCTTCGCAGTTTAGGGTTAGCGTTAGCGCTAGCGTCTAGGTTTTAGCAGTGGGTTGAGCACTACCAGCCAAAGGTCCCAGGGGCTGAGGCTGATAGCGTGTGTTGCGCCCGGCAATCTCGAGGGTCGGAGTGTGAAGATTATCTTTTTTTTGGTTTGGCCGTTGGGCCGCTGCCCACCATGGCTATGCCATGATGGTAGGGATGGTAAGGCTGCCTTTCTCATCGATTTCGCAACATCCTCTTGGAGGTTGGGCTATTCCTCCCATATGCGGCCTGGTGATCACCTACCCCTACCCCCCCGGAGAACTAGTAGAAGTGGCGGAGGAGGCGGTTCTCCGGCACTTCAGGCACGGAGACTGAAGAGACTGGTTTAGGTCGACGTCAACACAAAAGTTTTGATTCGGCGAATTAAGTGGCTCCCTCGACCGTTACGATTGCTCCCATGAAGGGAGTTAGCGGCAACGCTCTACCCCACTTCGTGGCCTTATGGGTATAGCAGGATTTGAACCTGCGACCATTAGGTTAAAAGCCCAATGGAGTGCGGGTAATATCCTTATTCTCCAACTCAGTTTGAGAGTCTGATTCACTGTGTGCAAACAATTTATTCCAATTTGGACGCCGCAGTTTCTCTTCTATTTCCCTTGGCTAATTATTCTTCTTTCTGGCTACGAGATGAGTGCTTCGAATGTTCCCTCGTTGGAGGCTTGAGCACGGATGTGGCTGCTACGGGGTTCCCCGTAATACTATAATGACAATAAAAAAGGCCTGAAAGGCCGTCCTGTCCAGGTTTGACAGGTAATTGAATTGGTTGGGCTTAAAGAATTAGCCTTTAATAATAATAAATAAAAAAAATCCTTCCCCGGGAGATAGCTCCCGGGGGAATCATAACTGTCACCGCAAGACCATACTCTGCAGAGGAGAAAACCCGCATCTCCTCACTCCTCGACGCTTGTTTTAAAGTTGGTATTCTACCAACAGGTTTGAATATCGGAGTCGCTGAAATAGAGGAGGATTTAGCCCGCTTCACGTGAATACCGAATTTCCTGAACTCAACATTCAATGGCTAAAAGAGCACGTGGTTGCCTACGACGAGATGCGATGCGTCGACAAAAAAAAAAAAAAAAAAACAGTGGCCTGTGTCGCTTTTCGGATTCTGACAGGCGCCCGCGGCCGATAGCTGGATGTACTTGTGCTTTAAGCCCACCACGATTGTTCGCTCACTGTTAAAAAATGGGGTGAGATTGCCTAACATCCAAACCACACCTAGCAAAGGGTCTCGCCGCACGGGACACGAAACGAAAACGAAACGAGTGCATCTGCCCACCAAAGGTGGCAAGATACACTGGTTACTATTTATAGCAAACCGATGAACCTGGCGATTTTCTGCGGGAAGATACATTCGCTTCGTTTTTCGTTTCGTGTGCCGTGCAGCGAGGCCCAAAACCACACCCTATTCCCTCGATTCTCAAGCCAACTCTTATGTCACACGCTTTTGAAACCAGCGGACTGTACAAACAGTCGACCCAACCAGGTGACTGTTTCTTCCGTACTTAGGCCTCCGCCACACGGCACACGAAACGAAAAACGAAACGAATGTATCTTCCCCCAGAAAATGGCCAGGTTCATCGGTTTGCTATAAATAGTAACGAGCGTATTTTGCCACCTTTGGTGGGCAGATGCACTCGTTTCGTTTTCGTTTCGTGTGCCGTGCGGCGAGACCCTTGGTCCACATTCCCAGGGAAGTCGAAGTTGGCAAGCCGGGGGATGGACTCAGTTAGTCCACTCTCTAGTCTAGGTGCATCCTGGTCAACCTAAATAGCCAAGCAAGGCACGACTTTCACCACTCCACAGAACGGGTACAATTCGGGTCTAGTACTAAGGTCAGCTCTTAAACACTCTCAACCCAATCACCCAAGTTCCACGGCAGGCCACAAGAGAGTACGCAGAGATTTATTTATTATTATTATTTTTTTTAGAGTACGCAGAGATTGAAAAGCAGGAATGACCAAACACAAATGCAGCTAGTAGATAATCCATTCCCTGCTCTGATAAAATTGTGGGGTAGGCTGAGCCGCCAGGGAGGGACTTCAATGATGCACCACGGTGGACACAACTCGGCTCTGCTTGGTCCTACAGCTCGTAGGCAGCGAGAGCAAACAAATCACAAAGGTATCAGCAAGGTCACAATGTGGGTCTACCTTTTGTTTAAAGAAAAAAAAAAAAAAAAAAAAAAAGTGGGTCTACCTGCCCCTCGGCTACATACACCTGTCTAATCGTGAAATCGTACACTGCACAGGTAGGAGAAAATAAGTCTTTGCAAAATGCTGTGCTACCCACTACTGCCAAAAGAAACTGAGAGAAAGAAACATGTTGACCAAAGGCATCTTCCCCACACACCCTCTGCACGCCACCTTTGTTCAATTCCTGTTCATGCACACAAATAGAAACTTGCCTAATATCAAATCGTCACAAAAACTGGAGGAGCTTCAGACGTTTTGAATCATCCTTACCCTCCTCCGTCAGCACAACCAAAATGAAGTACGTCTTCGCCACCATCGAAGCCGTCGCGACCAGTTAGGCTTGCCCACCCACTCCATCTCCCGCAAAACAATGGCTACATACAGTCTCCCCTTTCGAGCAAACACACCTCCATATCAAAACAATTTCCAACTCTATCCGAATTAGCAGGTTTTCCGTGACTATCCATACTCGCCCTGACCAACTCCTCTATTCTCCCCATCTCCTGCCTTCTTCACATCGAAACCCTCCTGTTTCAGAAACATAAAAAAAGGATGCAGCGACCCTCCACGTTTCGGGTTTGAAATACGTCAGCCCTCACTGAAGCAATCAAGAAGTTAGTCACAGCTGCCAGAGTGATGTCTCGTGAACTGGCTGATTGACTTTTTGTAGTATGCAAAATTGCAAATCTATTGTCTTCCCATTCTTGTCGACAGGAAAAGCCTATGATTGCATGCCCCGTACACATACCTGATCTTGTGCTCTCGACGCATTCATGATAACTAAGAATGATAGGTTCTGCTAGTACCAAATGGTTTGGCAAAAGCGTGCTGAACATCTCGATGCCGTATGGACAGGTTTGGCACCACGAGTTGTCGAGTCTTCATCTGACACTTATGTCCAATGGTTATCCACTTTCTCGGTTTGTCATGAAGAAGGTGGTCTTGTGGGATTGGTTAAAAAAAAAAAAAAAAAAGGTGGTCTTGTGTGATTCGGTGGCTGGAAAACTTGAGTCTTTTTACTGTATGTGCCATGTGGTTCTGATTTTTACTTCGTTTTTTTTTTGTTGTTGGGTTCTAAGTCACACCTTTTTCTGTCCAAGTTGTCTACTTGCTTTGTGGGGTTCTGGCGTTAGCCTGGCTGTTAAAGTCAAGTATGCAAACCCCTTTACTCTGCGCTTACTCGATGGGCATCGTGGTTTGTTGGAACTGCGGTCCCATTCACTGAAAATCATTGGGGCTGTCCATCCATCACATGACATGAGAAGGTCAGGATGGTGGGGTCCCTCCGGATTCAAAACTACAGGAGTGGGCTGAATGTGAAGGCGTTTAGCAGCCTTTTTCATATTAGGTCGAGTGTGGAATTTTGGTCCGGTGGTCTATTTCATTTCACCTTTTCTATAACGACTCTGGGTTTATTTTTCTTTCATAATTGTTTCACGCTCTGCGGCTCTGGTTTTGAACCGGTCATCTGTGTTGGCCCGCCAGACCTGTAGGCTATGCTTTTGTCCGGTCCGAATCCTGTCTTGGTCCTGCGTTGGTTCTTTTGTGGATAAATATTATCTTGTACGGTCTTTTTGCCACATTTACATGTTTGAATGGATGGCTCTGATGCTCTGATGCAACCTCTTCTATTGGTGGTAAGTATATGTTTCTCGATGGATGGATGGATGGGTGGATGAACATATGCACCTGGATGGATGGATGGATGGATGGATGGATGGATGGAAGGAGGGAAGGAGGGAAGGAGGGAAGGAGGGAAGGAGGAAGGAGGGAAAGATGGATGAGGCAATCATGTATGCCACCTACCAGGAAGCTGGAAAAGGAAAAAAGACAAATCTCTATCTAACATTGTCCTTGTGCTGGTTGGGCTGGTCCTTGTGTCTTGTTCTTCTTCCTTGTGTTTACACCTTATCTTTTCCCTCTTTTTGTTTGCCTTTTTTGGTCCTTGTTTAGTCGTTCTGTTTTGTTGGTGTTTTGTTTTGTTTTGTATTCTGGTCTTTTTGTTTGTTTTGGTTGGATTGTTGGTTGGTTTGTGTTGGCTTGCATGAGGATGGATTGGGTTGGGTCGGGTTGGGTCGGGGTAGTGGGGCGGGGTTGGGGCGGGGTTAGGGCAGGGTTGGGGCAGTGGGGTTGGGGAGGGACTGGGTTTGAGTTGGTGTTGGGTTGGGATTGGGTTGGGGTTGGGTTGGGGATTGGGTTGGGTTGTTTTGGGTTTGTTTGTTTGTTTGGTTAGTTGGTTGGTTGTTGGTTGGTTGGTTGGTTGGTTGGTGTGGTTGGTGTGGTTGGTGGTTCGGGTCGGGTCAGGTTGGGTCGGGTCGGGTCGGGTCGGGTCGGGTCGGGTCGGGTCGAGCCGGGT